TCTGAAGAGTCTCCATGGAAAGAAGGTTCCTCCGGAATTCGGCCGGCCGGGTACCTCACAGCGATGGAATTTTAGCTGGGGAGGTGCGACTCTCCAGAGAATTCCACCTCCCCCTCCCAACAACCCGCATGGCCGCAAACCTCCTTTCCCTCCAGAAGCCTGGACCCAGCGGAGGGCCCGAGGTGGAAGTGGGAGGGGGCTCGCTGGAAAACAAGTGTCTTTTGTGTGAGCAAGCCTGCAGCTAGGACCCCACCTCCCCTCCACAAGCCCCGGCCGGCCGCCCGGCAGAGACGGCCACGCTCCATCCATCCCACCCCAGAGGTCCCATTCAGTCATTAACGACCATCTCTACTAGGCAACGGGTTTTTTGTTGATCCCTTGAGATAGGAAAGAAGGAGAATAAGCTTTTCTCTTTCTTTTTTCCACGTTGGTTGCAGAAAAGAGAAGTTGGAACAAACATGTTATGTAACGCTGGGGCCAGTTGGGGGGGTGGGGGAGCACAGTTCCTCCTGAGGACAATTTCTTGAGTTGTGGGACTGCTGGAAGGGCCAAGGGGAAGACAGGAACCATCCCCACCCCTGGCCAAATGACAAACCCTAAGTGGGACAAAAAGGCAGATGCAGGCCCTGCCTGGCAGGCTGAAAAACCAGCCTCAGAGACAAGGTCAGCCTCCCCACAGCCTTCGACAGCCCCACAAGTCTCCCCAAGAAGGTAAGGGACTGACCCAATCCCATACAAGGGACTTTCCACCCACCATATGGCAAGCCCTAGAGAGCTTTTCCACACCCCATCCATCCATCCCTTCCTTCCTCCCTCACTCCCGGCCATATTTCTTGAACACTTACTTCCTCTATGTGGCCCGAGCTCCAGGCATATAAGATGACACAAGACACACATGCTCTCCACCCTCAAGGCATTTCCACAAACAAACACACCAAGAAAGGCTGGGTGATGATAGCACGATCAAGGACACACAATAGCCACGTGATCCAGCAATTCTGCTCCTGGTATAGACCCCAAAGAACTGAACACAGGTGTTCAGACAAAAACTTGTGCACACACGTTCATAGCAGCACTAATCACAATCACCAAAAGGTGGAACCAACCTAACTGTCCATCAGCTGGTGAATGGATAAACAAAATGTGGTGTGTCCACAAAATGGCATATTATGCAGTCATAAAAAGGAATGAAGTACTGATACACACTATAATGTGGATGAACCTCGGAAACATCATGTGAATAATGAAGCTCATTATGTGAGTGAAAGAAGCCTGACACAAAAGGTCACATATCGTATGATTCTATTTATGAAACAGATAAATTTATAGAGACAGAAAGTAGATAAGTGGTTGCTAGGGGCTAGGGGAGGGGAAATAGGGAGTGACCGCTCACGGCTACAGGATTTCCTTTTGGGGTGATGAAATGCTTTGGAACTAGATAGAGGTGATAGTTACACAACTCTGTGAATGTACTAAATGCCACTGAACTGTACACTTTAAATGGGTGAATTTTATGTTATATAAGTTTCGCTTCAAAAAAACAACAAGGTAACCAAAAAAAGTGTTCTGGGGGCAAGTTGAGCTCAGGAGGCAGGAGGCTGTGAGAGACCATGACCTTGGCATGTGGAAGGATGAAGAGGAATGAGTCATAGGCAGGTTGCGTACCGGGTCTGGCTGGCCCGTTTGGAATAAACGACAGAACGAATAAATGAACAATGCTACAAAGGCCTCTACATCTGAAAAGGATCCTTGGGAGAATATTGTGTACCACAATCTGCATCAAAACCTGGTCCTCTTTCTGTTTGCTCCATTTTGCCATATTAGAGAAACTCAGCCCTCTTCCCACACTAGCACTACAGGAATAAGATGGCCCCATCAGTTGCTCCAGACAACAATGACTGTTCACTGGGATGGAGGGAAGGGGGCAAATGGGCATCTCAGGGATGGGGAAGATGTCTTTTAAGAAAGTGCCTCCGGGGGCTGGCCCCCTGGTGTAGCGGATAAGTACACGTGCTCCGCTGCTGGCAGCCCAGGTTCGGATCCCAGGCACGCACTGAGGCACCACTTGTCAGGCCATGCTGTGGTGGCATCCCATATAAAGCAGAGGAAGACAGGCACAGATGTTAGCCCAGGGCCAGCCTTCCTCAGAAAAAAGAGGAGGATTGGCATGGATGTTAGCTTAGGGCCAATCTTCCTCAAAAAAAAAGAAAGTGCCTCCATTTAGAAAAGATGTCTTAGATATGACACCAAAAGCATGAGCCATAAAAGAACATTGGACCTCGGGGCCAGCCCCGTGGCTTAGCGGTTAAGTGCACGCGCTCCGCTACCGACAGCCCGGGTTCGGATCCCGGGCGCGCACCAACACACCACTTCTCCGGCCACGCTGAGGCCGCGTCCCACATACAGCAACTAGAAGGATGTGCAGCTATGACATACAACTATCTACTGGGGCTTTGGGGGAAAAAAAAGGAAAGAGGGCTGGCAATAAATGTTAGCTCAGAGCCGGTCTTCCTCAGCAAAAAGAGGAAGATTAGCACAGATGTTAGCTCAGGGCTGATCTTCCTCACACACACACACACACACACACAAAAAAAAAGAACACTGGACCTCATCAAAATGATACACCTCTGCCCTGTGAAAAATATCATTAAGAAAATGAAAAGACAAGCCAGAGACTGGGAGAAAATATTTGCAAATCATATATCTGACAAAGGACTTGTTTCCAAAATATATAAAGAACTCTCAAAACTCAAGAAGAAGACAACTCAATTTAAAAATTTACCAAAGATATGAATAGCCAGGGAGACCATGAAAAAATGCCCAACATCACTAGTTATTAGGGAAATGCAAATTAAAACCCAAATAAGATAACAGCACATACTTAGAATGGCTAATATTAAAGACTGGCCATATCAAGTGTTGGCAAGAACAGGGAGCAATTGGAACTCTCGTACATTGCTGTTGGGAATGTAAAACGGTGCAACCACTCTGGAAAACAGCATGGCAGTTTCTTAAAAAGTTAAACCTACGCCTACCATAGGACCCAGTCATTCCATCCTAGGTATGTACTCAGGAGGATGAAAGTATATGTCCACCTGAAGACGCATACCCAGATGTTCACAGCAACTTTATTTTTAATTGTCAAAACAGAAACAACCCAAGCACCCATCAACCACTAAATAGATAAACTGCATCCATCCATACAATGGCATACCACTCAGCAGTGAAAAAGCATGAACTTTTGATACTTGCGACGACATGGATGAACTTCAAAAACATTTTGTTAAGGGAAAGAAGCTGGACACAAGAAGCTACATATTGTATGATCCCCCTCATATAAAATTTCTAAAAAGGCATAACTATAGAGAGAGAAGGCAGATCAGGGTGTGCCTGGGGCCAGAGGTGGGAGTGGGGTTGACCACAAAGGGGCTGGAGGGAACTCTTGGGGTGATGGACGCATTCTAAAAGACTGGATTGTGGTCACGGGTGCACAACTCCATAAATGTATTAAAACTCAATGCACTGTCCAGCTAAAATGAGTGAATTGTACGGTAAGTAATTAACTATACCTCACCCTTGCCCCAGGTTATCCCATCACAAGACAGGGACCTAGGGTTTGCTGCCCCTTCTTGTTTGTCCCTTACATGCCACTTCATGCCTGGTCACCAAGCCCTGCCCAGTCTACCCCTGAATGTCTCCCCAAACCCTCTGATCTCTCCTTGCTCCCCACTGCAGGCCTCCAAAGCCCAACTCACCCACCAGGGCCCTCAGGCTTTTCCTAGCAGCACCAGCCCGGGTTCCTACAACAAGGACTGACTCCACAGCACATGAGTATCAACCAATTTCATCATTTATCACACTGAGTGAAATCATTTGCTCCCGTAAGCTCACCAGCAAGGAAGAGCCCAAATTTCCTCCTTGGCCAGCCGAGGATGGCAGGCTGTCCTGGGGGGCTGAGAGGGGAGGGTCTGGGCCATGCCGGCCTCGTACAATAGGAAGAGGGAGGGAGGGTGTGCTCCATAAGGCAGGTGTTCTTCCCCTCGGAGAACCCAGAACAACACATATAAAGACCTACAATTTTTATGCCAATCTGGGGTTTAAGCAACCAGTCTCAGGGCTCGGCCAAAGGGAAAAGGGGCCTCTCTCTGACCAAAGGGGGAGTGAATTCTGCCCCCTTGGTCTGAGGGCCAGACCTTGCTTCAAGTTCTTTAACCTGAGAAGCGGGAAGTTGAACCCAGAGATGGGAGGGAGAAGCCTGAGGGAGGGATCCTTCCCTTGTTTTCTTTAGACTTTCAGGGCTCTCTCACCATCCTCAGGCTCCTGAAGACCCACTCTAGCCTCTCAGGACCCCTGCAATCCCCCAGGTCCCCCAGACCCCTCTCTGCCGATCCGGACTCACTGGGACCCCCAGGACCCCTCAGCCTCCCCCTCTCAGGTTCTCCCAGGCCCTCAGTCCTCTTTCAGGCCTTCAGATTCATTTGAGCCCTCTACCCCCAGCCTCCCACGGTCCTCACTCCTCCCAGGTCCCCTCAGCATGCCTTCAGGACCAGGATCACCTTTAGACACCTTAGGGTCTTTCAGCACCCCCCCAGGAAGCCTTGTGCCTCAGCCCCTCCAAGCTCTCCTCAGTGCCCTCCTCAGAGCCCGCAGGAGAGCCTTAACAACCTCAAGACTGCCCATGGCCCCTGCTCAGGCCCTCTCTGCATCCCCGACCCCTGGGCATCCTCAGTTCCCCCATGGCCCCATCACAGGTAGCAGCCCTTGGTTTCCCTTCAGACCTACATGCCCCTCAACGCCCCCTCAGATCCCTAGGGGTGCATGCAGGCGCCTCAGTAGCCCTCGTCCCTCCAGTACTCCACGGCCCCCTAAAGCCCGCAGTCCCCCGGAAAGACCCTCGAACCGGCCCAGGCCGCTCCCCAGCCCCTCAGAACCGCAGGACTCCCCACAGGTCACCCCGGCCCCAGGGCAGGAACGGGCCCACTCTGTTGGCCGGGTCTCACCTGCTCGGGCGCTCAGGGCCCGAGCCCGCGCCGAAGCCGCCGCCACCAGCGCCACCGCCGCCACCGGACTCCGCCATCTTCCCGCCGCCACCGCTGCGCGTTCGAGTGACGGGAGCCGCGCGCGCCGGCCCAGGAGACGGAGACGCGGGGCGAGAGGCGGGGGCCTGC